AGGAGGATGAGGAGGCGGTGCAGGAGGCCCGGCGGAGGGCGGCCCCATCCGTGCGGGAGTTCAAGTACAACAAAAAGCGGGTTCGCCTCGTCTCGCAGGGCTCGGACCTGAAGGACGATGCTCGGTGCGTCCTTTACTGGATGTCCCGGGACCAGCGGGTGCAAGGTGAGAACCAGCTGGCGGAGGGGGCCGGGAAACAGAGCTCCCGTGGGTGGCAAAAGCCTTGGTCACTTCCCATGGTAGCCCTTAGAGCCGGTCCCCCCTTTGCATGGGGGACTGGGGGGATTCCTCTTGCAAAATGCCGTCTCCATCCCCTCAGCAGAGCATCCCCCTGACACTCCCCTGTGTCCTTTCTCCCCAGATAACTGGGCTTTCCTCTACGCCCAGCGCCTGGCCCTCAAGCAGGAGCTGCCTCTGCACGTCTGCTTCTGCCTGGTGCCCAAATTCCTGGATGCCACCATCCGCCATTATGGCTTCATGCTGAGGGGCCTGCAGGAGGTGGCCAAGGTACAGCTGCTGCCGGGATGTCCATGCTGGGTGGGACAGGGCAGGGACAGAGCTCCTGGGGAAGGGGGAGGCAGATCCATCCCTTCAGCGGATGGTGGTGGGATGGGGTCCGCAGAGGTATGAACCATTCCATAGCCCTTTCCCCCTCGCTGCAGGAGTGTGCAGAGCTGAACATCCCCTTCCACTTGCTGCTGGGCTATGCCAAGGACGTGCTGCCCGCGTTCGTGGTGGAGCATGGCGTGGGCGGGCTGGTGACAGACTTCTGCCCCCTCCGCCTTCCCCGGCAGTGGGTGGAGGACGTCAGGGAGCGGTTGCCAGAGGATGTGCCATTTGCACAGGTGGGTGCGCACGCTCTGGGAGGGGAAAACTCTGTTTGGTGAGACATGGGAGAAACTTGTGTCCTGTGTTTTGTGCCTGCAGAGGTGTGCTCGAGTGACCTGAGCAGGGAGCATGTGTGTCACATCATCAGGACCGTTTGCTTCTCCTGTTCACACCCTCCTCCACGGCTTTGTTTCTCAGGTTGATGCCCACAACATCGTGCCCTGCTGGGTCGCCTCCCCCAAGCAGGAGTACAGCGCCAGGACCATCCGGGGCAAGATCCACGCTCAGCTCCCCGAGTTCCTCACCGAGTTCCCCCCCGTCATTCATCACCCATATCCCCCCTCCTGCCCGGCAGAGGTACCAGCAGGAGACACCTCCACACCCACTCGCGGCCAGGCACAGAGAGTTCCACAGCTGCTTTGTGATCCTGGGAAGGGGTGGCAGGGGTTGAGGACAGTGACCTGCCTGAGGTCACGTGCAGGTAGTGTGGAGATGGGGATGCCCTGGGGAAGGGAGGTTCCCACCTCATTTATTCAATTCCCACATCTCTGCTGTGCAGGGCTGGTTAAGAGGAGAAGGCTGGCATGAGCTGGGCACTTGCTGGTTGGGGACATCCAGGGTACATAACACTCAGGGCAGCCCTGGCCAAAGAGCATCTGCAAATGCACTCATGCTGCTTGGTCGCCGCCCAGCCCATTGCTTGGGAGGCCTGTTACTCCAGCTTGCAGGTGGACCACACTGTGAAGGAGGTGGAGTGGGCGACCCCCGGCACGGCTGCAGGGCTGGCTGTGCTGCAGTCCTTCATTGCGGAGCGGCTGAAATCCTTCAGCTCCCACCGGAATGATCCCAACAAGGCAGCACTCAGCAACCTGTCCCCATGGTTCCACTTCGGTGAGCATCCCAGGCTTCCCACTCTGCAGCCAGACCAAGCACGGTGGCTTCGACTGGCAGCCTGACTTGCTCCCTCCCCACATCCCCAGGCCAGGTTTCCACCCAACGAGCCATCCTCGAGGTGCAGAAGCACCGGAGCAAGTACAAGGAGTCGGTGGACGCATTCGTGGAGGAGGCCGTGGTGCGGCGGGAGCTGGCTGAAAACTTTTGCTACTACAATGAGAACTATGACAGCGTGCAAGGTAACATGCCAGGTTGGGTGGGCAACGCTGGGGGCTGGGCTGGTACCCAACTGATCACCCCAACTTGGCAATCCCATTTCTGCTAGGAGAGGGGCTGTGGGGGCACTAATATGCCATCCTTCAGTACCTTCTGGAAGTAGGACAGGAGGTGGTGGATGCCCTCTTCAAGGCCGGTGCCTCCAGGGCACAGCGCCCTCAGTAGCCCAATTCCCCATCCCTTCCTCAGGGCCTGCAGGAGCGGGTTGCTCAGTGTTGCTCATCTCTTGCTCACAGGTGCCTATGACTGGGCGCAAACCACCCTGAAGCTCCACGCCAAAGACAAGAGGCCTTTTCTCTACAAGCTGCAGGAGCTGGAGCAGGGGACCACACATGACCCACTCTGGAATGCTGCCCAGGTAATGCCCAGCGTCTCCCCCTCTCAAAATGCTGAGCCTTTGTCCAAGGAGCAGAGACAAGCTTGCACGGACCGACCCCTGCGGCTGTCCCTCTCCCCCCAGCTCCAAATGGTCCG